GCAGCAAATAATTTTCAAGCATAGAGTGATATTACATGCAGAACTCCATACATCCTATATGGCTTGAGCAAGTCATGAAATAGTAATATTTCATTTTTGTCAGGCATAAGCAGACAACTTAATAAATGCTAATTGTTCAAGGTGAGACTATGCTACGTTTAATTCCTGAAATTAATGGAGATGTTTTTAGAATGAGACACTAGTCCACATGAGCAATGCAGACAGCATCAGACCTTCAGAAGGAGTTGAAAAACTGCGCTACGTCAGAAATCATGGTAAAGCACTGAGCAATACAAAAAATACATATATTATAAAAAGAAACAGAAAAACACTTCCACTTTATTTCTTTCTGAAATAAAATTTCTTTTAACATTTTTGAAGAGTTATCAAATTGCCATCAGGATATTGGAGGAAAACTGCCAAAAAAAAATCAATGCAGAGAGATAATTATGCTGATTTTGTGGTGGGAAATTTGCCTATGTGCTCAGTCTTGGAAAACTGAAAAGCAGTTGGCAATATCAACAGTTTCTTCTATTTTCTCTTTTTTGTCCTTTTTTGAGGGGTTTTCTTCTTGGTAAACATTAGGAGTGCAGCATACCTCAGTCTTAGATGCAAGTAGGAAATATTTAAAACAAAAATATTGCTAATCCACAATACAATCATTTCAAATAAATATTATTTTTAAAAATAACATGGCCCGCCTGGTTTTCTGTAATCAGTTGCTGAAGGATTCTTCTGTCTGCATCATGATGCTGTTGACAAATACTGCAGGATAAGCATAAAATACATGACATGTTGGTGGTGAAATGGTGGTGACACAAGCATGAGCAAGACATCTGGCTAGGTAACCATAAGGGCTCAACTGTGCCCTCAGAGCCTATCACGGGACAGGACACTAGGTGCAAGGATTCCCCAAAAGGAGTTAAAGAGGGATGAGGACAGCCTGCAAGGGCATGGTAGTAATAATTAATGAGAGGTTTCAACACACAAGCAGCTCAACAGCCATCTGCTCATTGGATGCACCAAGGAAAAGGATGGATCTGGAAGACAACAGTAAGGTTTTGGGAATGTTTCTCGCATGCTCACAGAATCCCAGACTGGCTGAGGTTGGAAGGGACCTCTAGAAATCATCCAGTCCAACCCCCTGCTGCAGCAGGGACAACCAGAGCATGGGGCACAGGGCGGCATCCAGGCGGGTTTGGAAGATCTCCAGAGAAGGAGACTCCACAGCCTCCCTGGCAGCCTGTGCCAGGGCTCTGTCACCCTCACAGGCAAGAAGTTCCTCCTCACATGCAGATGGAACTGCCTGTGTTTCAACTTGTTTCCATTACCCCTTGTCCCGTCATTGACCACCACTGAGAAGAGTTTGGCCCCTTCTTCCCTACATTCCCCCTTCATGTACTTATACTTGTTAATCAGATCCCCTCTCAGCCTACTTTTCTCCAGAGAAAACAGGCCCAACAATAACTTTTGATACGCTCCTGAGCAAAGAGTGAGATACTATATGATAAACCACCAAGATGCTTGTCACTCAGGGAAATGGTGAAAACCTGAATATTTGGGATATTTTCAGTTAGCCTGGACACTAGTGTGCAGTAGAACTGGACCTTGCAAAAGCATGTTGGTGGATGATGGAAGCTGTGTCCTTTCATAATTTTTTTGAAGATGAATAGCAGGCCTGAATAATGAAAATTATACAATGTTGGCATCTGCTGAGATCCAGAGCATTTATTTGCTGCATGGAAAGATTTGGTAGCAAAGAAGCAATAGAGACATTATCATGTCATTTATGGCCAGAACACAGCCATTTACAAAACAAAACAAAACAAAACAAACAGAACAAACAAAACAAAACAAAACAAAAGTAGTGACAGGATAATAAATAATTGTCATGTGCTGGACTCTTGCCTACGCTTAATCAAAGTGAGTGAAGATTAAAGAGCTGGAGCTGTAATGAGTTCTGCCTCATTCGTGAGCGTAACTGTTGCTGTCACTGCTGAACTCACACAACTGCACATACAAAACATGCCTCGTTACAGAAAACAGAGAAACCAGACACACTGCTCCACAGTTTGATATGGAGCAACTACTTTATACATAGACATATGCTGTTTCTCCATGCACTTACAAACCATCTGCTCTGTTCCTTCCTTAAATTTCAGCTTGAAAGGGAAGAAACAGATTTTATTTTCTTAGCTAAATGCTCTAAAACATACCCATAAATGTGGGACAATATACTATGTAGATGTACGAGATCAAAAATAAACCTATCTACAAAAAATGTATTTTATTCTAGCTAAAGTATTAAAGCCTTTATTTAAGTTTTCTGCCCTATTTGCCCTATTTTCACTCCCTGTGGCAATGGAAATTTTAAAAATTGTTACCAACGAAGACAGCTGAAAATAAGGTTGATTTAAAAACTCTTGAGTTTCAGTAGTCTACAGGAGTATTAGGAGCTCAGTCAAGGGTATTTTTAGAAACATATAAAGAGAAATTCTGCTCTGATATCCATTCTTGCAATCGCAAAAGAAAGTTCACAATTTTTGATAATATCCTTTAAGGTTGAGGTTGCGGAGTTTAAATTCCAGTAACAACAAGTGATTCCTTCCTACATACTGCTCCTAAAAGAGTCCATGCATTTTAATGCTACTTTCTAATGTGTTTTTGGAGGACAGTGACGCAAATCTTCTCATTTGGAATTGCAGCCTTTTTTCTCAAGCTTTCTCTGTGTGTTTTCAAACAGAAGCTTTCTGGCTAGCTAAGTATTTCTTCACATCCCTTCATTTCCTTAGTCAGACAGATCTCGTTTAGTAAAATAAAGCAGTGTTTTCCCTGTGGCTAACACCAACAATAAATCCTAAAAAACGCAATGCAGGAGTGGATACAATGCTCAAGGATTTGGGGTATCCCTACCCTTACCCTCGGTCTTGTAGTGGGAACGTACAAAAAATGTAGCTGAGTGTCCTCCTTGAGGTGGGCTGTGAGCTCCCCATGAGCTCCTGCACTGGGCACAAGCTCCACTTTGAAGGTCTTGTTCCTGCATCTGGCTTTTGTATGACTCTTGGGCTGAAGCACTCTACACCAAGCACCCAGCAATGCTGTGCTCCTTCGTATAGCTCCTTTATGTTGTGTGAGACAGAGAGGTTCTGCCTTGGCCAGTAGTGGTGCATGTGTTGTGGAAGTCACGAGGCACTGCTCCGGGGCATCCCTTCAGAGCAGATTTTCCCATTCCTGAACATTTCCTACGTTGCATTTGATCCCCTTCCATCACTGCTGCCAAACAAAAGATTTGGAGACTGTTCAGACAAATGATCTGGGGAGAAGCAGCCCCAAATTCACTGGCCCACTTTTGGCAAGCACATGTGCATGGCACCCGTTTCAGCCCAGCAGTTGCCTTCTCAGACCTTGCCAAACTGAAAATTTCTAGATGGTTTCAACTTGCAACCAGGAATCTGACCAGATTTGCTTGAAAATTGGCCCAGTTTCATTCAAACCATTTTACAAACTTCAACAAACACAGTCTGGGTTTTGACTTTCTTGTGAAACTTGAAACCACATGTGGTCCACATGGTTTAGGTTTTTGTTGTGAATATTTTACACAGCTTTAAGGGAATAACCTTTTCTTGTGGTCTTCTAGCATTTCCTATCCCAGCCAGAACCATAAAAAGCAAAGGCTGGAAAATATGAAAACTACCATTATGTGGAAAAAAAAAGGGGGGGGACTTAACTTTTTGAACCTCAAAGTGAGTTTATGTTCATTTAGAGCTCAGAGTGAAGTTTTGAATTAATTTGTGTTTTATTTTAACAGTTATCCTTAATTAGGTTCACTCAGGAGAAATCACTTCCTCTCTAATATAAAATCATTGAGCTTGCAACACATGGAAATTATAAACACTTTGGAGTGACTTAAGAGATGGGTGTGGGCTTGCAGCAGCAGAAGAGCAAATATTTACAGTACATTAGGCTTCACTTCATTTCTAAATTATTATCTTCCTCTTTGGAATAATCCATTTTCCAAAGACAGATTGCTAGTAAGGCTAACCCTGTCCTCATCAGCTTTGTTGTAGGCAACACTTTTTCTGTCATTTCTATATTGAAAATTCTTGTTCTACCTTTCCATAGAGTCAAAAGAAAACTGAGGAAATCTTTCATTTGACGTGAATTTTTCCCAACAAATTATTTCACTTCTGTGAGTTTCATTCTCCATTTCTACTAAGCAAAAAAAAAAAAAAAAAAAAAAAGAGACCCTCCTAAGAGGTTTGTTCATTCATTAATTCATATTCATAACAGGACTTTTAAATAGAAAGTGATACATACTTAGTGATACATACTTAATTATTGTAATTATACTTGCTTATACCAAAGCCCCAAAGAAGCTGTTACTTTATAGATTACTTAAGTTAGTACTAAAATATTCCCATCTTTGGTCTTAGTGTGCTAAGTTTACGAGAAGTTAAATACAATGAAAGCAACACGGTGACATAAAGGTGAAGAAATAATTGCAAACACCATTTTTACCCCCCGATTTGGTTTCTGCAGCGTGTGATGTGCTGTTAGGCTTTGCAGTAAAAGCACAGTAACCTGGCTTCGCGTTTACAATAGCTAAAGCCATCTGCACACGTGTAAAACCTTCGCTGGCAGGTTTCCATGTGCGGTTCATGCATTCCTTTGCCTGTGCAATTTGAAGCTGTCAAAAACTAATTAAATAATTATGTGGTTGTTACTGCAGCTGTGTGTATTCTTCATTACGTTATAAAGCTGCGGTTTGAGGCACTCTCCTGCTCTAGGTTTCAAAATATTAGTAATGGAAGGTGTGTTGTTGGTGCACGTTCAGTCCTTGCCAGGAAAAGCAGAAAGGGAAGGGAACCGTCTCTCATGTCAGGCTGTCCCCGCACTTTACACTGTATGTTCCTTATATACCACGAGGATGTGAAGGCACAAACTCACTCCTTGCACTGGGCAGAAGTCAGCGTGGGCTCTTCTGAGTCGGGGAAAACAGAGGAGTCCCTGCAGATCATGGAGCTGAGAGCGCAGTTGGCTTTGTGGCATCTTGGGCTTGTGAAGGCGACTTCTTGAGTGACTTTCAGGAGAAACATGAGAAGGAGAACAACAAGTTTATGGAAGGGGCTGGCCTCCTCCCAGGCCACTAAAGGGCTGGGTCCTGCTCTCCCTTCTGCTTTGGACTCACCCTCTGGCCCGAAGGAAATCAGTTTCTCTCAGCAAATTATGGAAAACAAATAGTCTCCTCCAAAAGTAGAACTCGGTGGTCTCATTAATAATTGCAGTTCATCTAGACGGAGGATGCCATACAGATGCAACATGGTGTTATTTTAATGATGTCAAATCATCATCTCTCCCTTTTTCATTTGAAAACCCAGGAGCTGTCACTGCAGTAACACAAACCCGTCACACCCAGAGGAGACAGCTCTTGTAAACATAAAAACATTGCTACCACTTACATTGACCAAAATACCACGAGCATGCGGCAAGAGAAGGACAGAAGGGGCCCTATAGACACAATCCTGACTCACGTCTGGTGACCACAGGGTGAGGCCCGAGGAGGATGAGGAGCAGCACCCAAGGGTGAAGGCATCTGACAAGTCTTGTCTGGGGAGGGCAACCCTCGAGACCACTTAACAAGGCCCCCGAACCAGTGCATCTGCGGGCAGTGCTGCTCCTCCAAAATGGCAGATATCGAAGCTGGTTTTCATCGCCAAGGCAGAAAAGCCCTGGCTACTCACGCACGGCACATTTCAGAGGCGACACAGCTGTGGGAGGAACAGTGAGTTACTGCAGCGGCAAAGCCGCGTATTACAGAGCGCCTCCAATTTATTATATTTATGGAGCAATGTTGCTTTTAATAATGTTTTCCTCTAATTTATGGAACTGCCTCATCACATCTGCAGTTGCCTGCTTGGCTACATGTTCAAAAACAGTAATAAAGGGAAAATTCCAAATGCTGTATTTATTTAATATTTTTCTTGTAGGCGGTCAGAGCATAATACATCAGTGCAGATGCTTTCCTCCTAAGGTTTTTTCATGATTTATCAGTCTAGGAGCCAAACAGCTTTTCTCAGTGCACTAGGCATCCATGATTCATGTAAGAGCCCTTTTCAGATTTTCTCTGAGAAAACTTACGGGTCAGTAGTTGCAAATTTTGCAAGGACTAAAATTAAAAGAAAATAAAAGAAAATATTTTTAAAGCCCAGTCTGAAAGATAAAGATACGAGAAGTAGTGAGGGGCTCCTAAAAGGCAACGTGTGTTTCTGGGTCCCTCTTGTGGCCTAGCAGCTGCAAACTGTCATCGCTAGCACACTTTGCATGATCCCAGACACATCAACACAAGCGGAGACACAAGGGTTTGCAAAGACTCACAAAAATCCAGCTCACACATAGGAAAGACAAATATGATATTAATTTGTCTGCACTGGTTCAAACCCATTTCTCATTATTTTCACCGCTACTGAAATCCTAAGGAAAAAACATGTGATCATAAAATCATAGAATCACAGGATGGTTGAGGTTGGAAGGGACCTCTAGAAATCATCCAGTCCAACCCCCTGCTCCAGCAGGGACACCCAGAGCACGGGGCACAGGGCGGCATCCAGGCCGGTTTGGACGACTTCCAGAGAAGGAGACTCCACAGCCTCCCTGGGCAGCCTGTGCCAGGGCTCCGTCTCCCTCACAGGAAAGAAGTTCTTCCTCACGTGGAGATGGAACTGCCTGTGTCGCAACTTACACCCACTGCCCCTTTGCTCCTGTCACTGGCCACCACCGAGAAGAGCTTGGCTCCCTGCTCCCCACTTTCTCTTCTCAGGTACTTATACATATTGATCAGATCCCCTCCCATAAAAGCAATGAAAGTACCACAAATTACTATACAGCAGGATGTGAGGACAAACTTGTGTTTCAGATATCTTCTAGACATCATTTGGACATTCAGGATTTTGAAGGTGCCCTTCTTCTCAAGCACAGCTATTAGGATTATAGCAACGTTTGTTTGTTTGTTTTAATATATTTTTTTTCCATGGGAACTCTTAGTTAATCTTTGAAGTTTGATAGCTAATCTACAAACCTACTTACATTAGCATACATGCTTTCTGAGCTCCAAGTATAGACTTCAGGAACAGCTTCAGGCAAGTAGGCAATAACTTAATGGTACAAATTTGGGGAAGGCAGGAGGAAGATGAAGGAATGACAAAATATTCCTAATAACAAGTGACCTTTCAGCGACACAGCAAGCTACCATTGGTACCTGCCCCCATGCAGGTAAAGAGATGGCCATGTGCCAAGAGTCCTGATGCAGATGGTGTTTCCGAAGGCCACAAAGTGCGCTTTGGATGACAGAGCCCTGGAGCAGGCTGCCCGGAGGGGTTGTGGAGTCTCCTTCTTTGGAGATCTTTAAAACCCGCCTGGACGCAGCCCTGTGCCCCGTGCTCTGGGTGACCCTGCGTGAGCAGGGGGGTTGGACTAGATGACCTCTGAGGTCCCTTCCAGCCTTAATGATTCTATGATTCTATAATTCTACTACACTGTGCTCCCATGCAGGAGTGTCCCTCTGTTCACATGCTCTGGCTGCTGCACACAATCATTTGACATGTGCAGGCAGGAGAGATAAAAGGCAAAAAGATGAATGTAGCACACAAAGCTGTAAGAAAACAGCGACATGCTGCCTTAAAGGGGAGCATGTACTGATGTGGTGGGGCTTATCCTGGACAAGATGAGGTCCTGCTCAGTCCTTGCTGTTCTTTGCAGCTGCCAGGGCCCCTGCATCTGCACTGCCGTTCATGGGCAAAGGCAGGGGAGCAGGACGGCTCCAGTTCCAGCTCCAGCTCCATGTCCTGGCCTGCCAGCAGGCCCATGCTCTGCTCCCAGGCCTCTCGCGGACCTACCCTGAGCGGCTCTGTTCCTGATCCTCCAGAGGTTCTCCTCAAATGGAAACTCATCCCTCCTTCCCCTCCAGCAGCACTCCAAGAGCCTGAGGACTCATCCAAGATCCTTTCTTCTGCATTTAATTAATCTTAGACTTCTTCCCCTACCTGCATCCTCCTCCCCTGCATGAGCATCATCACTACCACAAAATCACTCTTCCCTAGCTGCAGAAAGCTATTTTTCTGCCTCATGAGGTAGCAAAATCAGTTTGCCTGTGCTGCTGAGAAGCCTTAAACCACTCTGAGTTTGTGTGTAATGTTGGCTCACTGTTATTTGTCATAAAGGAACTTTTAAAGGCAGAAGTGATTTGCTCCAGAGCAAGAGCAAATATACTAGTACATATATCAAGCAGTGTTGTGTATAACAATGTACATCTCCAATTTTGGCAACAAAACTGCCTACACACTTTTTTTAGGAACTATAAATAAAAATATATATCAATATGTCCAGGCAGAACCTCATTGTTTCTTTTAAAATACTCCAATAAGCCACATAAGCCACATATTTAATGAGCAAACATCAACCAGGCAATTTTAAAGTTTTTGTCTGAAAGCTGTCCACCTTCCTAGTTTCCCTATTTCTGAAATATTTGTATCTTACATTCCTCATATATCCAAGGAATTTTTAAAACTTGCTTTAGTATAAATAAACTGATGAATGTGAATAAATAAACTAATATATTTCTAACACTGCATCTCCCATGAGATATGTTTTGATAGCAATGCAAAAACACAACCAAATTTGTTTATCTGTTATGCATAAATGTTTTCCTGACAAGTCCTCTTCCTTTAGTAGGAAGACAGATCTTTTCCATAAAGCAATAATGTGTATCCAGTACAAAAACATCCTATTTTTGTAAAAACATGACATAACAATTCTAACAATTCTCTAAATGCCAGCACTGTGTATTTAAAGAGGATTGGAGCTCAATTCAAATTTCTTCATGCTGTTCTCCAAAGAATCCATAGACCTCTTTTTCAACCTGAAATCTATTTGGAGGAGATTCTGAGAACTCTGAATATTTACTTTGGATTTTTAGGCAACAGCCTTGTTGAAAAATTAGAAGTATTGCCTGTTCCTAATGCATTTCTGGACACCTGAAAATCCTATAAACACCCCTCCAGACCCAAAGAGGCCATCTGGCATCCACCTCACTTGCAGCCAGTGAGAAACTGAATCTTCAAACCAGTACTTCTAGTTATATCACCGTGAACAACTCTGTATTTAACAGTCTCGTTGCTGCAGTCAGCCATCACAAAAGAATCTTGGCTAAAGAGGTTCTGTGGTCAATGCTGTTTTCTGATTTTTATTTTGCAGTTATTGTCCGTTTCTGGAATCAATAGAAATTCACTGGTTTCTATGAACTGAGTTCTGACCTCTTATTTACACATTTTCAGAGAGATATGTATGTCTATCTGGGTGCATGTAGGCTGTGTTTATGTTATTTATGTGAAAATAATATCTTTTTACAATGCAAAGATTCTTATAATACAGTAAATTAGCGAAGTCAATACTATTTATATACTTCTCACAAACACCATGTTCTGCACATCTGATTTATGATAATGTTCAAAAAATCAGCTAACATGGGAACCAAGAAACATGTGGGTTTGTAAAACTATCCACTTCAATAAAACACAGCGTTTTTATCTAACTGAGGAACTGGGAATTGGTTTGATGGAAGGGATTATTACTTAACATTTTCCGCAACATCAGCAATCTCATCAAAATCCCCTGGTTGCTCTGAGAGTAGGAGAGGTCATTTCTATGGGGTGAGCGCTTGTCGGGATGGCTTCCATGGACAGTGCAACAGCCTGGCTTCAATATCCCTTCACACATTGTGCCTGGTTTACTCTGGACAGTGCCATGGAAAAAACCACACCTTTGGCAGGCAGGGGCCAACAAAACCCCCACTGCCCATGCAGGGCTGCTGGCCAAAGCATCCTCTAGCCCTCACCGCTTCGCCCATGCGCAGAACTGCTGCACGTGGGCTGCACCACAGAGGAACAGTTTCTCCCCTCACCTCGTGACACAAGTTGGCCATGTGGGTTTCTGCTGGAAGGGTTTGCAAGCACAGTTCTGCGTTGGTGGTACTGGAAACCCTCCTGCTTAAGGACCTGAGTGCCTGGACACCCCAACCCGTCTTCTCAACGCATGGCTGCAGTGGAAGCGCCCACCCCTCCCATCTCTGAAGTTCTTCCAAAACCTCAGGCCCTTTATTTCCCAACTTACCTCCCTTACAATAGGTATTGTATTCAGACAAGTATGTTGCATGTCTAGAACAGTCTCCTAGCTACTTTTGAAACAGGGAATGAATGCTTGGACATGGCATGGGGAGGCTTTAATCTGGTGAGCCCGGGGAGCTGGAGATACCCTGGCAGAAAGGGCAACCTGCGGTGGCAAACAAAGCACGGGCTGTAAGGAAATCCTGGCAGAAGGCTCTACTGGATAAACCTGGATAAAGCTGGTGCCCGCGCTGCCTTCCTCCCCTGCTCCTGCTACCCACACTCGCTAGATTTTTAGTGACGTTTTATAATCGCACCTTTATTTTGCTGCACTGGCATGTCTTTAAGCGCCCTGTTCATAAACTATTCATTTGAATTATGGCTTTTCAGCTATTCTTTTGAATCTGCTGCCATCTAGCGAGCACAAATCAGCTGTTATTTATGATTTTCCGGGCAAGCAGTGTGTTTTGTGAGCTTCCAAGTAAAGTATCAAGGATTTTTTCCCAGTATCTTTCCATTTGAAGGTGTGTCTTGTGTTGTGGTACAGTTTCCATGATTTTTTACAGCAGGGTCCCAAATGTAAAGGTAAAATCAATTTAAGGCTGCCACTACCTTGTACCATCTCTGGACAAGTCTAAATCTCCTTGGTTTTAACATCTGGGGATTTTCATTAAATCATTCTCCATTGATCTTGACTATTCCTGCAAAGTCCCTGAAAGGTTACTGCATTTCTGGGCCACATCATAGGTGAGATAAATACATACCAGTGAGGTAAGTGCACATGAATCAAAGTGATTCAGGTCTGAGAAGTTATAAAGGCAGAGTTTAAACCAGGCTATAGGTCAGACAGCCTCACAGTCTTCAGGAAAATCCAGGTGTAAGACATCCAGGAGCCAGGTAGTCCCACCGACCTGCACAGCACAAAACAGACAAGTGATTTTCCACTGATGTTCAGTACAGAGACAAGCAGTATTTTCACTACCAGGTGCTTCTTGGTAGCTTTCTTGGTAGCTTTTCAAGCTACCAGGAGTGTCACCACAGCAAAATCTTGAGGTGTCAAAGGCTGTGGATTCAGGGTGAGGCACCAGGTGGTGGCTGAGTCACTGCAAAAACAGCTCCTCCACCCCCGGGCGCTGCCACTCGTGTCCCTGGGCAGCCTCACACCCAGCAGCACCAGTGACACCAGTGACACCAGTATGGCAGGTCTCCGACCTCCCACTGGCCCCATTTAGCTCACAAAACCACAGAAAACATTTTCTGAGCAAAACTTCCTAAAAGTAAGCAGGATCTGTTTCTCAAGACAAAGAAACTTTTTTTTAAAAGTACACCTAATGCTTGTCTGAGCTAAGTAAATGTTGTCATTAGCTTTCAGTTATGCAGAACTTGGAATGGTTGGCTTGAGCTCCAGCAAAAAGTCAGTGGCTTTCGAGATTAGTGCCCAAGAAATTCAAAAGATTAGGTGTCTTCAAGAATAAAAGACAATTCTGTAGTGCCCAGCACACTGTCAAGTTCAATCTTATTGTTTTCATAAATCTGGATTTCATATTTATTTAGTGCTGTGTAATCTTTTAACATTTTTGCAGTTCTAACTTGTTTTCCTTTATTCTATGTAGACTGACCAAATTCTACTATGTTTTCACATTTCAATATAAGCTTAGTTAATTCTGTGCGTTTACTCTTTCTCACGAAAGCCGATAAAACTCTCCCTTCATGCTCCCCACCCACCACAAAACCCCCATCTCCCTCAAAGCTGGGCCTTCCACACTTCACATGCGTTTGTGCTTGCATTTGTCTAGCAATCTTAGAAGCTGGTAGCACTTGAATATACAGTTCTCTATCAGAAATCTAAAGCGAAACCTGTGAGCTCCCATGGAAGGTACAAAGGAGCGGAGTTTCAGACCACGTTGTCTGAAAGCGCCCGCCGTCGAGGAGCTCCCACAGGACCCAGCACTGTTTGACCCGCAGCAGTCAGTGTGACACGAAACATGTGCTGAGCCTGCAGCCATTCAAACAATTTTATGGAAGGAGGTGAGACAGGCCTTAGAAATTTTTCTATATTTGGCACACCTGCCACATTTGCTCACTGCTTTTGTTTTGATAAGTTAAGCTGTCGTCGCATTCCTGGCCCGGTCCGGAGAATGTCCTACCGAGGGAATTTTCCTACTTTGGGGGGTCCTGCAGGGGAAGGCAAACATCATTTGTGAGTTTTAGTTCTGGCACTGCCATTACAATTACTAAATTACAAAGCATTTGACTTTAAGGCTATGAAGCTCTATCTTTAAGTGGCACTGTAGGTAATTTTGATATGCCTTTTACCTTCCTTCAAAATCCTGCAAATAGTTTGCACAGGCTGCAATGGTATTCACAGGACTGCTTCCAGAGTCAGCTAAGAACACTTCTTTTCCACGGATGCAAAAGCGCAGTAGGAAGAAACTCCCTTAAGCTTGGCAGGTATTAGGTATGGGAGATGGCCTGTAGAAATAGAAGGAAGCAGTAAGAGGAAGAAGCTGAGCAGGTGCAACCAATATTCACAAAATATGCACAATATTTAATTTGATAAGAAGAAATTGCACGACAGAAGCTCTCTCTTTATAAGAAACCAGATACATGGCTGTTTTTCCAGCTGTCTCAGCTGTAATCAGGGTGGGTCGGTGTTTCTCTTCTCCTTCCTCCGGTCAAGTCATTCAATCACCACTAAGGAACCGACTCATTTTAGGTTTCTGTATTTGTGTTCATACTCATAATGAGTCATTTGGTCTGAGTGTTACCTGCCCATACAGGTTAGTTTTGATGCGACGTGAATTACATAGAGTTGCTTTCGGTTCCCAATGACATGCGAACCTCTTCATTTCCCTAAAAGCACTGCATTAAGAAGTCACTTACACGGTACTGGTTTGGTGATTGTTCATTTACTTACCGCAGTATTTCCAGCAAAATGGACAAAATAACATCAGTTCATCTGTTTGTGTGTCGTGTGAGCCATCTTTCACAGAGAGGATCTTTTGAGGGCTTGTGCTGGTTGAATCGCACTTAGTCTATACACATTAACACTCATATTTTTATGAACTTGGTATTTAAAATTGATTCACTACAACTAGAAGAGAAAGATTTAGCTTAAACTAGAGTAACAGCAGCTTGCGGTGGAAGCCCAGCGCTTAAACGTTCCTCCATCACGTATCTGCACAGCGAAGAGGACCGCGATTCTGCTAATCCCATGGCAATCAAACCCGGCCTTCACTTTGTATGATTGCGGAATTTTATTATTTTTTTATGTGTATCACATAATAAACCTATCATAAGTAAAGTTAGCGCAACAACCATCAAGTGTGAACGTGCTGGTGGGATAAACCCCTCACAGTCAGGGACTGACCGCTGAAACGCAGTGATCACAGGCACTGCTGGCTGGAGCACGTTTAGCTTTACAACAGTTTTATTTGGCATCCATTATTTAAAGGAAAAATCTCTTCTGGCACCCCGGGGCTGCCCTATCTCCTGAGGTTCATTTTGAGCCCGTACACGTCCCCCCATTGCCCCGTGCTGTGCCACGGGCTAGGGGGGCTGGCACTACCCCGTGTTCTGGGCCAACGTGGGGCGCGGCTCGGCCCCACGGCCGCGGGGCCGC